TAAAGCCTCTTTTTATGGGGCTTAGGCATAGGCCTTAATGACCTATGCCTTGAGGTGGCACCGAACTCACATACCTAGTAAATAAATAAAACAAATAATTTCTAATAACAACACAAGGCATGAAAAGTAGTTTGCATATAAACATAAACTAAATTTGAATTTCACGGCACTCCAGATTTTCTAACTGTACATTAACTGTTAATTATTATTTTTTAACTATGAATAATTAAATAATAAAGTTTATCACTTTACTACTACTTAGTTTCGTTTTTAATTCCAAAAAAAAAAAAAATACAGAAAAAAAAAACACAAACAAAAACTTATATTCTAATCCGTCCTTAATTTATATTTACCTAAATCAATTATAATGTGCAGAACTTACAAATTCTCATCAGTAATACTTTCCATATTTTTTTTAAAAAAATATAATTTTGAATTTTTAAAAATTTCAGCCATAAAAGTTAACTTTGCTAATTTTATTCCAAAACAGACGATGGTGGGGTAATTAACTGTCCCTCTTTAAAAAATATATATTTTTGAATTTTTAAAAATTTCAGCCATAAAAGTTAACTTTGCTAATTTTATTCCAAAAGACGATGGTGGGGTGATTAACTGTTCCTCTTTATCTCATTTCATGGATTACACTCTTTTTTCTTCAAAAAAAACAAAAACTTATATTTTTTTTGAAACTCATACAACCAAATCTCTTTTTTTTTTTTTTTTTGGTCCAAGGAAAAGCATATATTTTTGAAAATTCGTACCATTTATGTATCAATATATTTTTATAATAAATAATTAAATTAAAAAATAAATTAAAAAATTTTAAAAAAACAAGTTTACTTGCAAATGGAAGCAAGACATTTTTTTTTCCAACTAATACCGAAATTAAATGAGATCGAGTGAATGAATTTTTTTCAAACTAAAATTTTTTAATACTATTTATCCATTTTGCTTTTTTATCCTATAATTCGTTATCTTTGCATGTTTTATGTGGTTATTTTATAGCATTTTCAAAAAAAAAAAAAAAAAAAGAAAAGAAAAGAAAAGCAACTCAATTTCTATCAGTCAACTAACAATTTTTTAACAAAAGGCGGAAATTGCAATAAAAAGATGTAGAATGTAAAGTATAAGGTTTTGAAAATACAGGGTGCAAAGTGTAATCATATCCAAAACACCAGGCAGTGGGGGTAATTAACTCAATCGGACAACCCTCGGACTCTGCAAAGTCTTACCAGACAGACAAACCCTTCTTCCTTCTCTGTCAAAAATCCATGGCTAGCAACAGCAAGAAGAGACAACTCGATAATGACCATCACCAAGACCCCATCAGAAAACAACACCACCACCACCACTCTCCCTCTTCTTCCTCAATAACCAAGAAGCCCTCTTTCCCATCTTATCTTGAAACCCCAAATATCCCACCAACAATCAAGCTCCTTTGTGAAATCATAGCTAACACACCTTCTCAAAATGTAGAATCAGTCCTTGATGCCACTGTTATACGTGTTAAACAAACTGATGTAGAACAAGTTCTTAAATTGTCTTATTCTTCCCCTGGCTCAGCTGTCAAGTTCTTCAGATGGGCCGGTTTGCAACTTAATGACAAACATAGTCCATATTCTTGGAATCTTGTCGTTGATCTTTTAGGTAAGAATTCTATGTTTGATGCTATGTGGGGTGCTATTAAGTCTATGAAAAGAGAAAATTTGGTTTCTTTAGCTACTTTTGCTTCAGTTTTTAGCAGTTATGTTATTGTTGATAGAGTTAAGGAAGCTATTATGACTTTTGAAGTTATGGATCAATATGGTTGTACAAGAAATGTTGTTGCTTTGAATTCTTTGTTAAGTGCTATTTGTAGAGATGGTAGAACTTTTGATGCTTCTGAGTTTTTACATGTGGCTAAGATTAGGATTAGGCCTGATGCTGATACGTATGCGATTTTATTAGAAGGGTGGGAGAAGGAAATGAATGTGGTTGGTGCGAGAGAAACTTTTGCCGATATGGTAAGCATGATGGGTTGGGATCCAATGAATGTTCCGGCTTATGACACATTTTTGAGTACTTTGCTTATGGGGCGGGATGGGTTGCATGAGGCGATGAAGTTTCTTGATAAGATGGAAGATAGGGGGTGTTTTCCTGGGGTGAAGTTTTTTAGACTAGCACTTGAAGAGTGCTTTAAGTGTAATGATCTTAGAGCGGCTCGGTTGATTTGGGAGACATTAGTGGGGAGGATTGGGTTTAGGCCTGATATTCAGCTGTATAATTTGATGATTGCTCTACATTGTTGCAATAATCAAACTGATATAGCGAACAAGATTGTTGATGAGATGATTTATAATGGAGTGTTCCCTGACTCACAAACATATAATGTGTTGTTCCAATACTCGATGAAGTATAAAAAGTTGAAGGAGGCATCATTGGTGTTCAATGAGATGATCAAGAATGAATTCATCCCTAGTAAAGCGAATTGCAATGCTGCTATAAGGGCATATATGGAATCAAAGGAACCCTACATGGCAATTAAGGTGTGGAAGTGCATGATGGAGAATTATTGTAAATCAGACTTGGAAGAGGCTGGAAATACATTGGTCGCCGAGCTTGGCTATCATCATATGGTTCCAGAAGCTGTAAAGTATGCTGAGGTTATGATTGAAAAGGGAATCAAGTTGACATCTTCCTCATTGGCAAAGTTGAAACAGATGCTTAACCAGGAAAGAAAGCCATATGTGTATGAGGAACTTCTGAGAAAGTGGAAAGCTCATCAGGTAGGATAAAATCTGTTGAAACTAAATGATTATTAATAATGCTTACATTACCTCCTGCCTTAGAATTACTGGTGTAGGACTTGCACATTCTGTTTCATGCTGTTAAAAAAAAAAAAAAAAAACTGCATGATATTAAATGGGTGTCTTGGCCTTTTGTGTCATAATGCCTTTTGCAGCATGCTGAGTAATGTCTTTCTGGCTGATTATACTTTCAAATCATTATAACACAGTCATTCAACTGTTACCATGGACTATCCTGTCCACTTAAGAATAGGATGTAAACACCACTACCATTATAGTTTTCCTGTTTCTAAATCTATTTATCACCTTCATTCCTTCCACTGTCTTTGATAAACAATGTTAATAGTGAACACTAGTCTTAGTCTATCGAATCTGTTCCTATTGTTCATGGCAAGTTGTGCCTCAAGAAGAGGAGGTTTTGAGGGGGATTTTTTTCAATATTGCTAACATCGAGAGAGTCGTGAATTGAATTCTGAATCTTTTCCTTTCCAATGTACTTTGTTGTGCTTAGTGTTCTCTGTACTTCTGTTTTTATTTGATCAGCAAATTTTTTGTTTTACCCATTAGAGTTGTTGGCACCTAATTTTTACCCTAATTAATTTTTTAAATTTGAGTTAAAAAAATACAAAAAAAAAAAAAAAGAAGAAGAAGAGAATTATTTGAAAGAAAATGATTTGGGGGTCTAATTAAAAGAAATAGAAAGTTTGGGGAAAAAAACTCAATTGAGGGTGCAATTGAAAAGTCCAAAACCTCAAATCCTTAATTAAAAGAAAGGAAATGTACAGTTGGGAAAAATGAAAAGAAAATCTCCTAATTAATTAGAATTAGAGGATGCCATTGAAGTTTAAACAAACCAAATGACACTAAAATTGACAAATGTGAGAAAATCAGGGATTCAAATTAATATTTATCCAAAATCCTATTTTTTCTTTGTAAGTACACATTTCCTTTCTATTTTTTAGCGACTGGACACTATTCATCATCCCTTCCAAATACCAAAAGCAACAAGTCCAAAAAAATTGTACCAAAAAAGAGTGCAACCAGCCACCACAGGACCCCCACACATCCAGTCACCTTCCACCATCCACAAAACCGCCACACAAACCATCCATTTTGAAAAAATAAGCCAAACAGCCATTAGAAGCAACCCGTCAGACCCCTTTACTCACCAGATTTGTTTGCGTTTCTTCTCACAAATCACTCGATTATCGACCAAATTGAACTCCCACAATAAACCAGAAGTGTTCCCCACCCAAAACTGACCAAAACCTCCTAAAAAAACCTGACCAAAAAAACACCTAAAATCATCGGAAATAAGCGAGGTTTGTCATGGCCAGCCCGTTTCCTTTTTTCTCGGGTTTGGCTGTTTTTCGATCAAACTAGGAGCTGCCACCACCACAAAAACACTCATCATCCTCCTAAAAGCTGCTTTCCCCTAAAATCCAAGCGAAATCCCACCAGAAATTGGCCGAATTAAAGAGGAAACCAAACCCAACTCATTTACACTCGAGTCGACTCCACCATTGTTTTTTGGCCATATCAGCTCATCTAAAGGCCAAATAAACATTCTAGCAGGTCCTAGTAAAATCTCTAGCTAGATTTTGAGCCTCAAAACCGGCTACCCTCAACGTAATCTACATCAAAAAGAGAGAGAGAAGGTTGAATCTTCATCAGCATTGATCTTTCTCCTCCATCAACAGCGACAGCTGCCATCACCACAAACAGATAAAGCGAGATCTTTTGCAGCCCGCAGGCCTGTCCATGCGCCTGAAAGTGGTTGAAGCAATCGCCAACGATGGCTAGACAGTGGAAGTGCGTGTAGTGCACGCGCGAGCACAATTTGGTAATTTTCTCTTACATTTCACATCTAACTAAGAGCATTTCGGTCATTTCACAATAACCTTTTCGACGCTTCAACAGGCAACTACTTTTCCTACCTAGATAATTGAACAATTAGTTTTCATCGGGGTTGAAGAAAGTGAAACTAATTCCAAATAGGACTTTGGACAAATTCAGCACTTCTCAATAGCTATTTGGGTAACTTTTGAAAATATTTGTGTTATCTGTGATTGTGATCAATTAAAAATCTTGAATGTGATGTGCCGAATAAGTGATATTCATGTACAATGCATGATTACTTGATTTTTTGTGCCGGTGAAATAAAATTGTTGGGGGCTTTTCATCTATATGGATGAAGCTATCGAGTGGTTTTCAAATCATTTAATTAGATTTTTGTTTGTTAAAATGAAACCGTAAGTGGCTTTTCACTTATGTGGATAAAACTATCAATAGCTTCCAAATTATTTTACTTGATTTCTGTTTTGTTGGAATGAAATCGTCGATGGCTTTCCATATATGTTGACGAAGCCGTTAGTTGTTTTTAAATCATTTTACTTGATTTCTATTTGATTGAAATGAAGCCGTCTTCATTTATGTGGACGAAGCTATCAATGACTTTTAAATCATTTTACTTGATTTCGTTTGTTGAAATGAAGCCATCGATGGTTTTTCACCTATGTGGACGAAGCCGCCGAGTGGCTTCCAAGTCATCTTATCGGATTTTTGTTCGATGAAAATGAAACTCGTTAATAGCTTTCCCATCTATGTGGATGAAGCCGCCAGTGGCTTTCAAATCATTTTACTTGATTTTTGTTCGATTGAAATGAAGCTATTAGTAGCTTTCTACTTATGTGGTCGAAGTTGCCGGTAGCTTCCAAATCAATTTATCTATTTTCTATTTAAGTGAAATGAAGCAATTGGTAGTTTCCTACTTATGTGATTGAAGTTGCCGAGTGGTTTTCAAACATGATCATCTACTTTATGTGCAAGTGAAATGAAGTCGTCGGTAGCTTTTCGCTTATGTGGATGAAGTCATCGATGGCATCTCGAACGATGCGCGTTGAAGTTATTGACTTCCTAAATGTTTTGGCTGAAGTCATTGATGGCTTCCCAAATGATGCAATTTGAAGTTGTCAACGACTTCCTAACTATCGTGTTTGAAGTTTTCGGTGACTTCCCACTTTTATGGATGAAGCCGTTGGTGGTTTTCAAATTATTTTTATTTTGATTTCTGTTGTGTAAATTGAAGCTGTCGATGGCTTTCCACTTATGTGTTGAAGTCGTTGGTGGCCTTCTATACTCATGATCCGAAGTTGGTTGTGACTCCCATTTGTGTAAGTAAAGTTTTCGTGGAATTTTGTTCATATCAATATAAGCTTTCAACTTTTAGAAACTCACCTATTTCTATTTGATGATAGAGGTTGTGTTCGCTAAAGATTAGTCAAAATTTCAATGTCTACCCTCCTTTTTTCTTTTGAGTATGGGTACTTGAACCAACCTAAACCTTGAATTACTTCGTTATTCCATTCCAACAAAAAAAATTTACTCAAATATGCATAAAAACATAACATAATAAAACTAGATTTTTATTTTTGCATGCATTTAATGCAATTTACCTTAGGTGGGACGAGATGATGGTGATGTTATATCTTCTTTCTGCGTAACCGATCTCTTACCTAAATATCTATACAACTAGCTTGTTTAGGATTTTCTAGTTCTTTTCAATAGTTCGGTGGTGACTCCTTCTCTTGTAGTTCCTGTCGAAAAGATTTTCAGAAAAAATCACATTTAGATGTTACGTAAGATGTAAGTTGCATGCATGATTTACATACATCAGATGATTGTTAGGATCCCACTGCAACTTGTAGAGATGATGGTATTTGATACCGAACTTGGAGCACCATTGCTGTTTTTGGAATCCTATTTTTATTATTGTCATGTTTTTTCTTCGTTTTAATTTTTCAAGAATCTAACACAACGTACATAAGCATCTAGAATTTCACTTATCTGTTTTTTCAGATCTATTATTCTCCACACACACTCGCACCCCACGGATTCGCACTATTTATTTGATTAAACAAAGCCCTTTGTTGAGCTGTTTTTCATGGAGCACGTGACACTTCAAATGCATCTAATGCAATACTCCATTCGGTATGGTAAAGCAAAACAAAATTGGAAAGGAAACTAGGATTTTTCAGGACATAGGCTTTTTCTTCAAGACTTCAGATAACTTCTCAAGCGATGGTGTCTTACTATTGATTAGATTTGCAGCGTGCTTGATGTTACTGATTTAGTTTTTCTCCACTTTATGCCTCAGATCTTGACTTCAACGAGAGGTTCCATTCAAGTAATTTCGTCCCCTTGGAAATTTATTTCTCCTGTAGTACTGGTACTTCTTTTTCTTGAGAAAATATCATGTATGTGGTGGTACTCTCTCTCAATTTCTTAAGTTAAAAGTTTGATTTTGTATTCTAAATCTTTATTCACGGTCCACTTGAGACATGCAAGGACACATTATATGAGCTTTGTATGATTTGTTGAAGGCTTTTGAATAAGAAGCAAAACAAAAATTGATGATGATAACAAATCCGCCGAGTAAAACACTTGCTGGAACCATTGAATAAAAAATGTAAGAAGATAGCCAAGCACCAGTTTTCTACTAAATCCCAGATTTCCCATTGTATGGCCTTAGCGAAGCTCCACCCCTTGTGCTGATTGAGAAACTCGAAACGAATGTCTGAGAATTAATCTTTATTTCCTAATTATAAAATATATAATTAAGTTGTGTCACCATTTCAAACAGCTGGAATAGCTCAGTTGGCTAGAGCGTGTGGCTGTTAACCACAAGGTCGGAGGTTCAAGCCCTCCTTCTAGCGCTTTCTAAACCCTTTTTTTCCCTATAAAAAAAGGGATCAACCCATATTTTAGAATTAATTATAAACAAGCTTATTTTTCAGAAATGAATAATTTTTTTAAAGAATTTTACCAATATTAACCTTTTTCTAAACCAACATTAATATTTTCCTTAATTAGAAATGGAGTTTAATTTACTTAATAGTATTGTTGTATATATATTATAAAGTTAGTATTGTATTAAGGGTATAATAATAATTTTTTATATATATAATTATGGGCAATTATCATGTTGA